CTAGTAGATTCTCAATACAAATTATTAAATAAAGATAAAAGCAAAACCTCACCTTAAAAAAAAAAAAAAAAAAAAAAAAACCAATTCGCTAAAAATCTTAACAAGTTTGTCATCTAACAAGGGAATAATTTTGAATCATTTATCTACTATCAACTGGTTTAACCTACTATCAACTGGCTTGACCTACTATTGACTGGTTTGTTAAAAATTTATCAGTAATTTGAATAATGAATATGACTTGGTAGTAGAAATAAAATAAGCTAAAATCAAGTCAGCCATGGCTTTGGAGTTTTAACCATAGCTTTGGAGCTTTAACTATAGCTTTGAAGCTTTAACTATAGCTTTGGAGCTGAGCTACTTCAAGCTGGATAACTAGCTTGAGAAATCATATTAATCTGGCTTAATTGTTAGCCAATCAGTCTTTATATAGCTCGATAGTATGTTAATCATTCGAACAAAAATAAAAGAAATTAAAGCTTTTTAAAAAATAAGAAAAAAAAAGAAAATCTTACGTTCATAGCCTCAAAAAATTCAATTCAAAGTGTCGAATAGTTTCTTAATATAGCTTTTGTATCTGTAGTTAGTAAATAAGTGATAGTCTAGGAAAATGATAGTTCGGGAATTTGAAGATTCTCCAACTGATAGTTAGTTGTATCATTTTTATGATAATATTTATTAATCATTTTGATAAACAGTCGGAAAATTTTCAAATTTCCAGACTGTTATTTCTTAGACTACCGCTCAAATATAAAAGGCCCAAAATATACTTGCCCAATTTATAGTCAATCTAAAAATCAATCCCAACTTCTTTGCAAATATATATTGCAATGAATACTGAAAACCTTTTTGAAAAATGTTCCTGATAATGATTTAGCCGAAAGTGTTACTACTACAAATGATAATATGAATATTGTATCTGATATTCCAGTTGTTTCAAAAAAACCTAGCGTTAAACTTCCTTCACCAGTTAAACCCTATTTTTTACAAAAAACTATTGATGGAAAGTCAGTAAGTTGCAGTATCTATAAACATGAATTCAGTATTACTACAGCTACTAGTAACTTATGCAAACACCTTAACTCTCGATATCCAGGCTAAAAAAACAAATCATTGCCAAGTCAGCAACTTCTTCCCTTTGCATCTGAAGTTATGATTTCAAAATAAATCCTTACAGTGGCTTAAAAAACTAAATTTAGTATGTTAGTAGCTGAATGGATTATATCAGATACTTTACTTTTTTCTATTGTTTTAAGCTAATCATTCGCTACTATGATCCGATATCTTCACATGATGTTATTAAATCTATTATTCAAAAAGCTTTCGCCATAATACAAAAAGATGTTCGAAATCTTTTTGAACAAATTTTTAGTAAAATTTTTATTACATTAGATATTTGGACCTCTCGTGCTAATGTACCTTTTATTTGTATCACAGCATATTGGATAGATAATAACTGGAACCTTAAAAACATCTTACTTGATATTTGTATGCTCCTTTATCCGCATACTGGTGAAGAAATAGATACTAAATTATGCTTTGTTTTTGCAGCTTTTAATATTACTGACAAGATTCTTTGCGCTACTACCAATAGAGGCTCTAATATGATTTTGGCAATAAGATTTTTAAAGGATAATTTAGTTTTAAAAAATTATAATTTTTACTTTCAATCTTGTCATTGCTTAGCATATATCTTAAATCTCATTGTTACAACTGGTTTATTATCTATTAAACCATCAATTGAAAAAGTGCGTAATTTCGTCAACGTTATCTCATCATTATCATCTATAACTCAGGATTTTAAAAAACTTGGACAATTAGTTGGTGAAGGTGAAGCAACTTGTAAAATTCTACAGTATGTTGGAATAGTACTTATCTTATGCTTTCAACCTACACAACTATGCCTACAACAATTTCAGCTATAATTAGACGCAACAAAAATCTTGGTAAATTTAAACTCACTCCACAAGAAGAAACTAATCTTCAAGCTGTAACACATTTTCTTAAGCCATTTTATGAAACTACTAATGTTCTTTCTGGTAGCACATATACAACCTTAGGTATTTTAATTCTGCTGATCGATGATATTGTTGATAATATTTCATCATGTATTCAGGATTCGGCGAGTCCAGAATTTCTCAAAACAGCTGCAACTCAAATGGCTGAAAAAATCCAAAAGTATACTAATGAAATTTATGACAAAACAGCATTTATATCTGCTATCCTTAATTCTTAGGTTAAATTAGAATTAATACCTGCTAATATGAATACTGAAACAAATCGTACTATTTTTAATAATATTTTTAAAACAGAATATGCTAAACTTATTTTAAATAATACCTGTACCTCTCTTACCTTCTCTACCACCCTTACTTCCTCAACCTCTATTACCTCCTCTACTTCTACCTTCTCTACCTCTTCTACAAATTTAAAAAACCCTTAACATATACAGAGCAAATTGCTCAAAAAAAACAAAAATCAAGCATTCTTACTGATAGAACAGATGAACTTATACAATATCAACTTCATGAACTACACTATCACAACACAATCTACACACACTCTATTTAAGTTTTTAGAGTGCTGGTTCACAGC